ACATCCCGTGCGAAAGAACTAAGGATTTGGACTTAAGTGAGGATAAAAACTCCAATACTCAGAAAAAGGAAAGTTTAACTAATGGTTTGGTAATTTTTAAGAAAGTGTGCCTCTTGCATAAATATAGAACACGTTTTCACATTTGTGAAAAACTCCTTTTCACTGACAGTAAGTCTTACCTAAGCTGGCGATTAGCCTCTATAAGGCCATGCATCATTTTCTGTTGTCGTTCAGTGTCGTCCACCAGTGTTTTCAATGCAAGTCTTATCCCCAGTGAAGAGTGCTTGTCTAAAACAATCGTATCTGTAGACATTTAAGATAGACAAGACAGTGATAAAAGGAGCGGCAACTTGCACCTCCATAAACATTTGGAAGTGGAGAAGGTTATATCAAAAGAGGATTTATGAACTTAAGTTTAATATTTTTAAATAATAAGAGTTGCTAGAGAACAGCACTTCATTACCTGTCAGAGTTCTGCTGTTTCTTGGTTTAGCAAGACACACAGGTTTTAAGCCATGTCGCACTAATAATTTGTTTACGTTTTCCCATTCTGCTTGCTCCTGCTACAGATGGGAGGAGAGGTGGAAGAGAGGAGACTTTGAATTCAGAGAGTTATCTAATAATATTCAATAATTCTACTATTCCCTCTAGTTGTGTGCACAATGGAACGCTTCTTCTAATGCCAATCAACAAAATACAATAACATGTCACAGTTACAAAAGGAACTCAGAACTTAAGCTCTTTCATGGCAGTTTAAAAGGCTCTCAGTTCACCTTCAGTGATGATCTGCAAGAAGCAAAGAAAAATACACCAAACTATACTAAATACTGCATGCTAACTCCTCAAACAATTTATATCTACATTTCAAAGGGTGAAAAAGCTTTGCAAATTTACACATTCTACTGTTTTTAAAAAAAGGACTTACCTGACACCATGATTCAGTGGACTTTTGTGCTGGAGTCACCTGCATAGAGCCTGCTGGGGCATTACTTGACAATGCACAACTTTGTGGGACCTGAACACAAACAAAGTAAAAGTTGCATGCTGAATGCCCTCTAATCCTTGCTATACGGTCAAGCCCTTTGTTTTCAGTTTTTACCAAAAATGTCCAGGATTTTATAAAAGCCTATGTGTTTTTTTACTGATATTCACCTGAATTTTGGACCCCTCGAGTACATGAAAATACTGATTATGTTAAGAAAATATGTTATATTAAGTAGATGCATTTATGTTAACAATAAACTAGTCTAAGTGTAAATGTGAGGCTGTCTATTAAAGAAAGGCAATCGTACAAAAAATATATGAGTACTTGTGAGAGTAGAGATCAGCACTCCAGTCCTAAAAAAACAGTAGTGCCAGAACTCCCTGGACCCAGCTCCCCACTCTGGAAAGATATGGTGGCTCAGTAACCTGGGCAGCCCTGGTAACCAAGCCACCATCTTGCCTTCTCAAATGGGCCCAGAAGCAGAAGAGGTGGAAGAGGCAGCATGAGATGGCAGCTCCTTCACCTCTTCCACTTTTCTCTATCTGTTGTTTTTTTTCCATCCTCCAGTCCCTTGATATTAACCCTGATATTTACCCAGCAAGCTGTGATGTAAATTTTTTGCACCAATTTTCACCCATTTTTAAATTTTTGTTATAAATACTAATACATTCCTGGAAAAACTAAAATAAATTAAAAATGAAAACCGACAGGCCTTGTATATGGCACATACGAAACACTGCATGAACCAAACACAGACCTAGGCAGAAGAGCTCCAAAGATGTAATAATGGTTCTACCATTGATTCACAGTGACCTTTTTTCCATTTAGGAAATTTGTGAAAATACTAGGTTAGATAGTCTTTCTGCATGTGTAAAACATTAATTATATTCACCCGACCCCACAGAAATGTTGCAAGTGCTTGTCTGTCAATTGGCCCAATCCTCCAGTCTTTCCGAATGTAAAGGCCTAAATTTTCCAAGAGTGGTTAGTGATCTAGAGCACCTCAGTTTTGGGGCGACAGCTTAGAAGGGCTCCGATTGTCAAAAAGGGCTGAGTACCCTACCTCAGAAAATCAGGCTCTTTTAGGGAAAACTGAGGTACTCCAAATAATTACTCACTCTTGAAAACTTAGGCCAAAATGCCTATTGACATCAAAATGGACTGCAGGATGAGGCCGCATGTTTTTATAAACTTCTCACACTGAGGACTAAAAACTATAATTTTGAAGCAGGCATATTTTTCTTAATTCAATTTACAGATAACTGTTAATGAGAGGCCAAGAACTTTAAAATCTGAAATCAGTGGGGGATGCTGGTTGCTCAGCACTTCTGAAAATTAGGCCACTTATTTGGGCAATTCAATATAGCTTTAGGAGTCTAACTTTAGGCACCTACGCCCAGATCCTCAAAGATATTTAGGCTCCTAACTTCCATTGATTTCAGTGGAAGTTCAGATCCTCAAAGGTATTTAGATAATTGATTTCAATGGAAGTTAGGAGCTTAAATGCCTTTGAAGATCTGGACTCTATTCTTGAAAATCTTTGCCAGAATCATCCATTCAAAACAGATTTTAGTGTAATTCTTTTAATTTAAAAGTAAGAACAGCAATTATGAGCAATCCTACAAATAGTGTGGGCCAGGGGCATTTCTATAAACTCACTGCTTTCTCTCTTCCTTCATATAGTGATAATTGCCTGCATTTTCATTTGGTAACTAGAGAAAGCAACAAAATACCATAGTGGCTGTATTTATACAGATCGAGCCTGATTTCAGAACTGAAGTGAATGGCAGTTGTGAGTGTTCAACCCTCTTGAAAGTCACCCAGGGCTTGTCTACACCAAGCAGCTTTTAGCGACAAGGCGTGTGTAAACGCTCTCTGTCGGCACTTTTGCCGACAAAATACTTCCAGCCCTGCGAACGGCGTTAGCTTTGTTGGCAGGAAAGCGTGCCTGCCAACAAAGCCGCGTTCACCAAAGCCGCGTTCACACTGCCACTTGCGTCGGCAAAACTTTTGTCTTTCGCAGAGGGGCTTTTTTAAGTACCCGTGAAAGACAAAAGTTCTGTTGACAACTTTGCAGTGTACACATACCCCTAAAAGGATTTTCATGAATTACCATACCACATGGATGTGTACGCACGTGCAGCAGTTCATACTGGAAAATTATTAGTCTTTTTGGTTTATCATGTGCTGTGTTTGCAATGTACTTTAACTTTTTGTTCAGGGTGAAAGGCTAGGGTTATTTTTTGCAAAATTATAACGGTACTGCAGGTCCAACTGTGGGCCTACCATCTTTGACCGTACTGTCCATTATAGCCTGCCAATTTGCTAATTCCAGAAATGTTAACACAAAGAAGCATCCAGCAGGTAATCTTTAATAAATACATTATATGGTGCAATATACAGTTTAGATTAATTAGTACTATACCTCAGTCATAAGTTACTCCTGTGTTGTTGGTTTTCACTGTCAGATTGTTAAAATATCAAACTGATCTCTGATCTGAAGCTGTTCAAGTATCAAAGGAGAGAAAACAACAAAAGTCAGAAAACAACACTGAGTTGTGCCCTGCAATACATATTTTGTACAATCCTCTCATTGCCAAACAATGCATTTATAGGTATTATGCAGAAGAGGTTTGGCCCCAGACATCATGATTTTGCATCACAAAAGATACCAAAGCATTTTAACTATAGACAGATACCACTAGATGTAATTCAGGACAGAATACAGCCCAATGCGCATATAGCAGCAGCCCTAGAGCCTCAAGACAGACAGCTGGCATACAACACAACAGTGGATGGGGTATTTTGGCCAAGGACAGCTAGTTAAATGCCTGCTTCTTTACGCTCAGTGTTACCAGGCCAGATGGCTAAAAATCCATATTCCTTTACCAAACAAAAATTGTCAAACTACTAGGCTGCGTGCTCAAGCTTGGCCATACATACTATCACCTCTCCTTCTTTGGTCTCTGCCTAGCACCCACACGCTCCAGTCCTTTCTACCAAGTGCCTGGCACCTGCTGGCGCTCTACAAGGGATGCTACTAGCGAGATAAGGCGGGGGGAGGTGCTGCCTTGGCTCGGTCAACTTCTCTCGGCGAAAGAGACAGAAGTGGGTCCAGTAGAAGATGTTGCCTCCCCCACCTCGTCTCACTCAGGGGCTGGGCCCAACGCCGCAAACAACCCGGGAGCAGGCTGGGCCGGTGGGTGCAGGGAGCTAATCAGGCCGGGCGGCGTAGCACAAGGCCTAGCGAGGATGGGAGATACGCCCCGCGGGGCGGGCTCGGGCTGTGGCTGTACCTGTACCGGCGGGGGGAGGGGGATCTCCCTGTACGGTCACAGCTCCCCCGCCACATTCCCTCCCCCCCTCCGGCCGCCAGCCCCGCCTCGCCGCTTCCCGACCCTCCCCACCTGGGCTCGCTCTGCCTCCGGCCCCGCCACACGCTCCGCGGCCGTTGCAGAGGCGGGGCAGGGGGAGGGTGGCGGCGGGCGGTGATTGGCCCCGAGAGGCGGGGGCCGGCATGAGGGAAACGCCCCTCACCGCCCGCAGGGCAGCGAGCAGCCGCGGCGCGGGGTGGGGCCGCACGCTCCCAGCTCCCAGCCCGAGGGCGCGCACACCCCGGCGGTAGCGGCGGTGCCGGTGAATGCGCCGGGCGGTCGCTCTGATCGATGCGCGCCGCGTCGCTTCCCTGCCCCCTAGCGCCATTTTGGCCGCGGGGGCCGGAGGGAGAGAGGCGGCTGCGGGGAGTGGTGCGGAGCGAGACCCGCCCAGGTACGAGAAGCCCCGGGCGGGCTGGCGCCCTTCGTCCTCTGCCCTCCGGGGCGCTGCAACCTCAGAGCCCCCCGCGGCCTGGGCGGCTGCAGCCCCCGCGGCCTCTGAACCCCTGCGGTGCCTGGCCTGCAGCGTCCTCCCGCTCGGGGTTGCCTGGCCGCTGCGCTCCCCTGGCCCCCAGCCACCTGTAGCGGCAGGCCCAGCGCCCGGCCGGGACTAACAGCCCCTGCTCCGCGGTAAATGTCCCGAGCCACCGGATAGCCCCGCCTGGGGAGAGCCCCTGATCCGCTTTCTTGGGGGCCCTCTGCCCCGACATCCTAATGTGATCTCGTAGGAGCGCCCCTTTCCCTTAGAAAAGTGGTTCCTGTTTATTGGCTCCCATGGAGACACAGGTCAGCAGGCCAACAGAGGACGCACGGGTAGTTTGCCGCTGTTAGTGATGACTCTGTTAGTATTATCATAATGTGTGTGTCTGATCAATGCGGAGCGTCGGGGGCTGGTCAAGTCAAACTGTTAACGTCCCTGTGAGAAGCACCGCAGTGTCTAGTAAGAGTAGTCTGGTTAAATACCGTAACCACACCGAGCTTGTCTCTGGCCAGGTGCTCTTATTTAGAGGTAGGAGGTGAGGCGACGGCCATTGTTTCTTTCAGTTCCAGAAGAGTAGGGTAGTACTAGTTGCCATCAACTTAATCTCTTAATCTCGTGATATTTCACTGCCATTAAGATCAATATCCTGTGTTGTAATAAGCTTGGTAGCAGTGATGTTTTCTCTCCCTAAACCAACAAAATAGAATAAATAGCACTTGCATGAATCTTGCTCCATTGGTAGAAGTTTTCTGGACTTCTAAAGATGGCATAGAGAAGGAGGGGTAGCAGAAGGGGCATATTGAGTGCTTTTTTTTTTAAAACCTAGTCTTTATATAAAATATAAATATAACAGAATTTATATAAATATATGCACAAGATGGAAATATGATTTAAATAACAAAATTAAATCTTCATTATTTGGAAAGCCTGGAATTAAAACAAACATACAAAAAACCCTGAACTTGTAGAGGTCATTCAGGGCATCCATTATTAAAGTGACTAAACAGGTAAATAAGTGACAACATATCCTATGAGTATTGGGGACTAATATATACTAAACTGCAAAAGTATGCAATAGTTTCATGTGTGATCAAATATCTTTATAGTTTTTCCAAGTGTTTGTATTAGACAGTCATTGTTTCAATTAATGCTGTAATAAAGAGATCACTAAGCCAGTCTGCCTAATTGCAGATTTCCATTTTCTTAAAATAACTCTTTTGGCCACTAAAATAGTTCCTGCAATCCATTTCTTAATGGATTACCATTTCTAGTATAACCAACTCATCCAGCACCCCAAGAACACACAAGCTTGGAGAAGGAAAAATAGTGACACAATTTTAGAGAGAGCACTGAGTATGGTGTTCCAGAACACCTGCATTTTTGACAGGTGTAGAGGATGTGTGAAAGGTTGGCATGTGGCTATTGCATCTCCAACAGTTGTGAGTTGCCAATCTAGCCTTAAATAAATGTTCTAGAGTCCAGTTGTACCTGTTTAATATCTTATTCTGGAAGAATCACAAGATGAAAAACTTGAAGTATCTTTCACGTTAAGCCACATATCCTCCCAGGTTTCTGTTGTGATAGTAAGACTAAGTTCCTTTTCCCATTTTTCTTTGAGACTGACTTCTCTACAATTTCTGTGCATTTATGTATCAGTTTTGTGTAAATTCTGTTTTTTTGGTATGGATGTCCTGTGAATTTTCACTACAATTACATTCAGCTGCCAAATCTCAAAGTGATATATACTTGAGACACAAAATTTTGATCTTGTGTGAAACTCTTCCAAAGGAGAGGGATCTTAACCTTTTGACCTGAAGTTAGTCAAAAGGTCTTCCATCGAATAAGGGATGAGTCACTATGTACCCTTAACCTATGTGGATAAATTGAATTTATATTTGCAATGAAATATTCAGATAAGGTATTGATTTATATTCCAGTGTTGTGTCTAACAAAAGTCAGAACTGTATTACATTACATTTCATATGTTAGGGTGTGTGAAAGCTCCCTATGTTTTTGTGAAAATATCCATGGACATTAAATGGAAAGAACTAAGAAGGGATTATTTTTTAATTAAGATGGAAATGCGGTGTTCGCCTTTTTTTTTTTTTGCTGCTATTCTGCTTTTCTCTTTCTTTGCTGCTAATTGGATTTAAGGCCGTTCTGGTTACTATGGCATCCCGTGAAGAGATTACTCTCTATGAAGATGAAGTAAGGTAAAAAAAAAAAAAACACAAAACACTCACTGCAGTATAAACTGATCTGGAAAGATGTCTGTAATTTTAAATTTAATGGTCGTTGTTGATCAGATCTCTGGATGTACAGATTATTCTCTTTAAACGAATAGTGCATCATAATATGTGCATGCACACACATATCAGATATTACCTAAGCCAGTGGTTTTCAACCTTTTTCCCTTTCAAAAAATTTCAAAGGGAAGTGTGGACCCCTTTGGAAATCTTAGACATAGTCTGCAGCCCTCTAGGGGTCTGCAGACCACAGGTAGAAAATCACTGACCTAACTGCAGTTTTTTTTAACTTAGTCACACTTTTTGTGTTATATTTATTAAACAAACTGTTAAGGTTGAGTTTAATAGACTAGAAAAGATTTACAGTATTACCACAAATGGTTATATAAATTCGCTGACATGTAAAAACCTAAAATGATTTGTAATGGGTCACTCAATTTTTACTATATGTTAGAAGATGCCAACAAACAAGATAATTTACTGATGAGCATGAGGAATTAGGTAGATTTGTAACTAGTATTCTTCTGTAGTTAGAAGTTTTAGCACTTACATGGATGTATATGTATATAGTATTTATCAAAGTAAAACTATATGTTTGCCGATTTCTGTTCTAATTTTTGTGATCAACATAATTTCATTGTGAGCTTCTTAATTTGTTTCAATTTTAAACTTTTTTGCTATATTTGATTGTGGATGAGAAAGTAAATAAATAAATAAAAGCTAAACCAATCTTTCCTACAGCTAAATTAGTTCTTAATCAGGATCATTTTTAATTAGTTAAAGCGTACGTAACCTGAAGTAATAAAACTTTGAACAAAATATACTGCACATTAATAGAAGAATTATAAGTCTTTAAAATTGTTATTCCCTCAGGTCTCGCTACGGCTACCTGGAGAAGATGACAGATCTGGTGGCTGTTTGGGAGGTTGCTTTAAGTGATGGTGTTCACAAGATTGAATTTGAACATGGAACTACATCAGGAAAACGTGTTGTATATGTAGATGGAAAGGTAAAATGAACATGTGCAAAACACTCAATACTTATGTAACTGTATCTTTATGTGTGGAAAGCACTGACTAGTTAAACACAATAATAAATAGAACACAGGCTTTTTACCCTTGTAACAAAGTTAACTGAGTAATACTTAAAAGGAAAGCATGTATTTCAGGCTGCACTATTGTACCCTGGGTTTGCAATCCTCATCTCCCAGATATTATCCCTTTGGCACAGCATGGCTGATAGCTTGCTGCCTTATTGGGAAATAGTAGTTCTACTTGCATTACACGTGAGAATCATTGGTATGGCTTCTGGCATCTAGTGTTCAGTACTAACATTAGACTCTACCAATATCTGATGTCATTCCCTGGTAGTGCTTCTCCAGTCTCTTATTGATCTCTTCACAATATAAGAAGGGCAGGGCGCTATCCACTTCGCTGTCCTTTCTCTCTGTGTCTCTCTCTCTCTCTCCTTGTTTGTCTTGCAGCAGTGGTAATTAATAGGCAGACTGCGGGCCAAATCCAAACTGCCAGATGCTTTTGAACAGACCCTGAAATTTTTTTTATTTACTTATCTTTCTTTATTATTTTCTCTGGAGTCTAGATCTTGACCAAGAAATTTGGACCTTGACAAAAAATAGACTACCCGTCTTACAGTATGAGTTTGTAGAAATACACCTCTGCCCTGATAGAACGCCAAAAATCCCTACTGCGTTATAGCTGAAACCCAGTTATATCGGGGTTAGGGGCGGCCGGGCTCCAGAGGTGATTTAAAGCGCTCCGGGCTCTGGCTGCTGCGGGGAGCCCGGGCCCTTAAAATCGTCGGCGAGCCCCACTGCCGCAGCCCTGGGGTAGCAGCGGGGCGCCGGCGGTGATTTAAAGAGCTCTGGGCTCTGGCCACTGCAGGGAGCCCGGACCCTTTAAAGTGCTGCCTGAGCCCCGCTGCCGCAGCCCCGGGGTAGCGGCGGCAGGGCTCCGGCAGTGATTTAAAGAGCTCCGGGCTCTGGCCGCTGCGGGAAGCCTGGGCCCTTTAAATTGCCGGCGACCCTCGCTGCTGCAGCCCCGGGGTAGCCGCGGTAGGGCTCCAGCGGTGCAGCAGCCCCGGACCCTTTAAAGCGCTGCCGGAGCCCCGCTGCTACTGCGCTATACGCAAACCTGTGTTATATCGGGTTGTGTTATAGCGGGGTAGAGGTGTACTAACAGGGATTGATGTCTGATACCTGCCATGCACTCTCACATGCTACAGCTCAGATCCTACACAGAAATGCACACAAATGCATCCTCGTGTTTACAGAGAACCCCACTGACGTTAATGAGACTGCATATCTCACTACAGGTCCTGGATCTGATACCGTGACAATAGTTTGCACCAGTTCCTCCATCTGCTACTTGGCTTGATATTTTCTGTAACGAGACAAAAATATTTGACTTTTTATTAACACCCATTTTTCTCTTTTTAATTATTTTATTCTTCAGGAAGAAATAAGAAAAGAGTGGATGTTTAAACTAGTGGGTAAAGAAACATTTACAGTTGGAGCAGCCAAAACAAAGGCTACCATTAACATTGATGCAGTCAGTGGTTTTGCATATGAGTATACCTTGGAGATCAATGGGAAAAGCCTCAAGAAGTACATGGAGAACCGGTCAAAAACAACAAATACTTGGGTATTAAGCTTGGATGGTGTGGATTGTAGAGTTGTGTTAGGTGAGTTAATAATATTGAGTCAGTTCTCATCACTGTGCTTTTTATATAATCTTATATGCCTTTTTTAGGACTTAGGAACTCTGGGTTCAAGTCCCTGCTTCACCACAATTTTCCTATGTGACCTCTGTCTAGTCACTTGGAGAAAATTTTCAGGAGTATTTAGAAACTACTTTTGCATATGCATCTTTATCTCGATGCATACTCCCAATGGGGAATAACTCTAACTGAAGGTAGTAACCATGTTACCCTAAGTTTGTCTTGTTTAATGTGACCATTTAAACAGCTAGCCTATTTCTAAAATGTCTCTTTTGATAAGCATTACCTCTTCCTATGGTTGAATTGTGTCTTTTAGCTTATTTTAATTAATACGGGAAATGTTTTGGATCAAAGATGTTTGTTTATATTTGCATTTTAGCTTGATATTTACATAAATAAATAACCCTTCCCCCCACATTTTAGTACCAGGTAGAGGGCTCACATTAGGGACTCGATCCTTATACTCATTGAAATCAGTGGCAAAGCTCTCAATTCATTAATGATACAGGGTCAGGACTAGGAGAGGAGAGGCCTGGAGACATGTTTTCTTCTAGAGGCTCAAGGATAGAATGACTGATAGTACCAAAAGCTGTACTAAGATCAAGTAGTATGAAAAGAGAGGGGGATCCATGAGTAGGAGCCAAATCCTGCTCTTTTGATTGATTTAAATGGCATGAGAAAGGCAAGCAGGATTTGGTCCTATGATACTAACCATTCCCAGACAAAGGCAGTTTCAGAAATATGAAATTTAGAGTGAACGTACTCCAGGAGGTTATGTTGGGTAATGTAATCAAAACAGTGCTTTACAACAAACAGAAATTAATAATTGTTTAATGCCAGCCCTATTTTCTTCTAATAAGGAAGGTGCATGAGTTTTCAAAAGATTTAAGAATGTGAAAAGTTTGAAGGGTAATTAACAAGCTGGGTTTGAGCTAGAGGGACATCCCACACAAAAAAGTTAGGCAAAAGTCAGAATTTTAAATCATGGTAACTTATTTACTATTCAGTAACTCAAAAATCATTTGTTTTTATTTTTTTCAAACTTTGCAGAAACAAAATTTTTGGGTTTCAGAAAATCCTGACATTGATTAAACCATTTTTTGAGGCAAAAATGGGGCTCTCTAATAGAAGCTGGTTGCAACCTTATGAGAGAGCCTCTCCTTATGAAGACAAACTTTGTAATTCAGGATATTACTGTTTATCTGGAACACATTTATGGAGTTATAGCTAAAATTTCATGGCAAACATTTGGAATTTCTATCTCTTTTTGGTCCATAAAGAGGCATGCAACTTTTGTTCTGTTTTCTCATTTTTACAGAGAAGGACACTATGGATGTCTGGTGCAATGGTAAAAAAATGGAAACAGCGGTATGTGATCATTTACAAAGGCTTTTGTTTAAGATACTTATTCTGATTTAACAACTGAAATAAAACATACCACAGTTAGAACACTAATATTGACATTATGTATCAGTGAAATAATTCAGATACTGTGGGGAAATAGCTGTGGGCCTTTTAAGCAAAGTATTTTGTGGAGGAGGAATAGGGAGCCGACTGAATTGCCTGTGGATTATAGAGCCAGCCAATTCAAATCTAGCCAGGTCACTAGTAACTGAATGTTAAACATTTAAGGCCTGATGTTCAGAGTGGCATAAAAATCAGATTACTTTTTCATGCCTTTAGGTAGTCCCTCCAGTTTAGTGTTTAGGCATCTTGACAGAACAGTGTAGGGAAGTTTGCCATGTTGTACCTAGTCCTGTGGATAAGAAGAAATCCTCAGTCTGTCACTTTGGTAATCTTACTCTTACTGAAAATTAGAGTAAAAAAGGAAAAAAATATATATTCTGCAGCTTTCCCTATGCAGAGGACTACAAAACCTATTTCCTCACCAGACATTTGATCCTGCATCTGTTACTGTCATGAGTAGTCCTATTGTATTCAATTAGAAAGGGTAGGGAAATGAGGTCTTAATTTTGCTATACTTTGAAACTATTTTTCACCACGTTCCCAAGCATTCTTCCACAAACTGCTAAGAGTACAACCTTCTGCCTCCCTTGGAGCACAAATTCTGATTTACTACTCCAAGCATTCTCAATCTTTTCCATACTGTCATTCCCCATTATAACAGAAAAAAGGTTTGGGATCTCCCATCTAACTAGCCACAAAGGAAGGGGGAGAGAATGGTTGAGTCCCTCTGAAACCTGTTTGCAACTCCTAGATTGAGAACCCATGCACTATTCCTAGCGCATGGTTTCTTAACCTATTAACTCCTGCAGGTATTGTGCCTGCATGATTGCCTGCCAAACTGTGCTTATATGTTAGGACAGCATTCTGGTCTCTCTTTGTATCAGAAGATAGACTTAAGGTCAATTTGGCCAAGATGGCATAATCCAAAACAGGAGGTGTAACACCTGGAATTCTTTAAGCATCTGCAGTACAAACACACTCCAGAGTTATCATTGTTAATACAGGGCACACACAAAGCCCTTTGAACAACTTAAGTTCCATTTAAACCGTATAGACCCCGTAAGCCTTGTGTTTAAAGATCTTAGTCCTTTGAATTAATTTATGGCCAAATTCAGCTGTGGTGGAAACCAGTACAAGTCAATTGACTCCAAGTAGAATTACAACAGAACCCAATTTGGCCTGTTTTAATTAACTTTATCAGTCACAGTGCTAGCTGAAATTTTTCAAATGTCACAAAACCCAGTATTTTACAAAACTTCTTTGTCTTTTTTTGACTAGGAAACAGCCTGATTGTAACATACATAAATCAAAACTGCTGCATAATCAAATGCGGTGACCAAACAAGGCATAATCTGGGAATTTTCAGCTTTACATTTTCCACCTTGTCCCATATTTTTCAGCCACCAAATACCCTGTTTCCCCGAAAGTAAGACATCCCCCAAAAATAAGACCTACTTCCAGTTTTGCCTCTCGCTGTAATATAAGGCATCGCCCCGAAAATAAGACCTCCCCGATAATAAGGCCACCCCGGAATATTGATTGGCCGCAGGACAAGAAAAATAAGACCTAGCGCATTTTTGGGAGCAAAAATTAATATAAGACACTGTCTTATTTTCGGGGAAACACGGTACCTATCAGATCTCTTCTAATTACTGGAGCTGCAGGTGCACCGCACCTCTGAAAATCAGATCATAGATGCCTTAAGAACACTGCAGTATTTTGTTAGTCAACCATATTGTTCCTTTTCATGATATTTTGTCTCCCCACCATAGGGTGAATTTGTAGAAGATGGAACAGAAACTCACTTCAGTGTTGGTGATCATGACTGTTGCATTAAGGCTGTCAGTAGTGGAAAGCGAAGGGAAGGAATCATTCATACTCTTATAGTAGATGACAGAGAAATCCCAGAGGTTTTGGAGTAGCCTGGAGTTAATCTGTTATAGAAATAAAGATCAGGGATTTTCAATTACTGTGGTAATTAATTATGTTAATATGTACTTCCAGGTACATTTAGTTTGTGCTTTTTATTTTCTGGTTACTGTATATGAAATTATAATCTTTTTGAGGACCAGATGAAAATATCCAATTATGTACAGCCTCAGATATTACCAGTTCTTTTGTAAACTATATAAATATATAACACTAAGTATAAGGAGGGGAAGGTGGACTTAAAGATTTCCTTGTAAACAATTCTACTTGTTACAATAATAAAATGCAAAATAAATAAGCAGTGCAATATTGAATTTTGAGAAGTTTATTAACTGGATGTGGTTTTCTTTTCATGTTCTGCATTCAGCTGCTCTGCACAATTTTTACAATAGTACACCCAAGCTCTGAGCTGTTTTTTATTGATAAATGTTTCTTGTAACATGCTAATGTCACTTTAAAATTCCTATGGTTGTAGTTAAGGCAATAAATAGCTATGTAATTGCTAAAGTTAATAAAACAAAATATTGAAAATTTAGATATTCCATATTTACAGCAACTATACTAATATATACAACTCTTAAGACTAAGGGGGGAGAGAAATGTACTGTACAAAAAAAGGGAATGGACGGAATGGACAATCTCACTAGTTTGTCTAACATCTGTACATTAAAACTGTTGTAATGATTAAATAGCTTCTGCATTTCAAGTAACTATTCACTTTTAAAAATTCACTGTGGTGCTAAGACACTTTTTAAATGAAATATTTTGATGAAAACAGACAGTAATATGAAAGCTCCTACCAATCCAGCATTTAGCTAAATGAAACTTAAACCTACATTGCTGTGTGAACAGGGGAATACATGAAAAATCAATGGAAATTAAAGCGGGGATCTGTTGGCCAAGTGGAAAAACTAAATTAAGAGTGGAATGTTTGTGTTTTCAAGCTTATAGGATGGTATTAAACTCTTAATTTTAACAAAATATAAAGAAAAATTATTTGAAAGTGCGCCTAGAGTACATTAAAGATGTGCTAACTCACATAGTATGTACTAAAGTCCTTTTGTGAGACACAATAGCTTTATAAAGCATTGACATCTTGTGCTTTAGGTTTCAGACTAGTGTGTCTAATGCATTGCTATAGTTATTATTGGGATGCCTTTTGTTCCACATCCTGTTTTGTTGTATTAAACTGTAACAAAAATAAAAATCCTTTGTCTGTAGGTACTTGTTTCTTTTCAGTCCAGAAGCAGACTTTATATTGGACAATAATCCCTTTGACTGTTGCTGAACTATCACAGTATCACAAGCTGTTTCAAAAAGTTGATTTTTTTTGGTCAGCAGGTATATAAACCAGTTTTAAATTAAAACTTCCTAGTAAAGATATATGTAGTTCTTGGTGGTTATAACTGGTCAGGCAATAGAGATTGGGCCAAGTTCTACTCTGTTTTATTAGTGCATGGAAGTTAAGGGGTTGCCCAGGTGTAACTAATAGCAGAATCTGAGGATGTTATAAATGTTGCAGACTACAGAGTCTTTGTTTTAAAGAAAAACATGAATGCAAACCAGTGCTTGAGATTTGACTTACCTAGTAGTCTTTTCCTTTGGGCCCTCAGTTCAAGTCCCATTCCAGCAACTGGTCTTACACCCAGGGCTTGTATTTCTAGCTCCATTAAAATGACCTGGAGGGGTTTGAGCCTTTACTAAGAAACAATTTTGCAAGTATCTGAGGATATGGCTAAGCTGATTTTTTTTTTTTTTTTAAATACAGTTCACAGCCTTTTCCATACCATGACTGCAAATTACAATGAAAAAGTTTCAGGCCACAGGCCCCTCCCAGCTAGCCATAAAATAAGATCATAATCCCCCTGAAACCTGTATGTGGCCCTCTGATGATTGCTAGTCCCAGGTTCAGAACTCATGCTTTATTTTCATAAAATCTTTCATAAAAGGCCATGCTGAATACATCATGATAGCTAACTGAAGTCTGACTATTGTCAAAGTCAGGAGCCTTAATGTCCTGTTAAGAGGAGGAGAAAAATCAGAACACATCAACAGGTTGATTTATTTTTGGTCATGCAATTTTTTTATTTATCTTAAACATTTTACCTACAGTGGTTGGCATCTCATACAGCTAATAAAAATGATAGCAACACAATTATCGCTACTGACACCGCAAATAAATTCATGTTTTATAAGCATCTAAACTTATTTATAAAATAACACTTGAAAAGATGACACAGCTGTTGTTGAAACACATGGTAGATGGTTAGCTAAATACGTGAAAGCAGAATTAAAAATAAAATGAACAGCCTAAATACATGTTTTAATCTCAATGGATTACTTTGGACTAGATGGTTTTTGCTAATGTGTGATTTTTAAGTTTATAAAATATTGTTTCAGGCTTTTATAAAACAGACATTTGTGACTAAATATATATTTACTCATCTCTGGTGCCTTAGTAAAATAAAATGCATAGTGTACATACTGTGGCTGTTTATAGAAAAATAAAACTTCTACATATTTTTGAAGCTATATATTTTCACCACCCCAGGAATAGTGAACTGAATTCTGTATCTCGTACCTTTCAGATATAAAATTATATATAGTTTTAACTTCCTTAGGTTATACTGGTTAAGCTCTTGTATATACCAACAGAGATGTGTCAAGATTGTTAGGTAAGGCACCATCACCACACTACTGCAGTAGTGTCAGATATGCTACTATTTGGGTTTTAACAGGATGCTCTCTGTACTCTGTTCTGGGGAATGCCTAAGTCCCATGGTTCTGATGAACTCTCATCTACCGGGCCCCTGGTTGCCTAGTAAGGCACTGACCCCTCAGCCCAAATCTGGGAACATGTCAATATATAGTGTGGAACGGCCTGATTACTGTTAAAAATGACAAAGATTTCAGGCTTGTGAACATCATCTACTACACTGTCATATACAGTCATGCCATCTGCATCAACTGCTGGTGGCATAATATAAGACTGTTTGCCCTCAGTGTATAAGCCTGTTACTACCTCAGCCTCAAATACACAAATTAGATGGTCCATTTCACACTTTTCCTTGGTATCCTCCATTAGGTTTCTGGGGTTCCTGATAAAGTAGATGCCAGCTCCATATTTTTGTTCTGGAAGTAAAAAAAAACAAAAAATGAAAATGGTAGACTCCAAAGAATGAGGTTTATTAGAGTTTGCAGTGTTGTAGCCATGTCGCTCTCCAAGATATTTGAGAGAAGGTGGGTGAGGCAATCTCTTTCATTGGACCAACTTCTGTTCGTGAAAGAGACAAGCTTTCGAGCCACACATAGCTCTTCTTCAGCTTGTCTCTTTCACCACCCAGACCTTAAGAAGAGCTCTCTGTGGGTTCAAAGCTTGTCTCTTTCACCAACAGAAGTTGGTCCAATAAAAGATACTACTCACCCACTTTGTCTCTCTCTTAATAGGGTGACATTTTTTCTCATGGCTCCAGCCCTAAAGATTAGAGATGCCTCTTGATTCTGGATTGCATTTCCTATTACCTTTCACAATGTTCCTTCTATGCTGGTAAAAAAAATTGAAGAAAGAAATGTCTGCTGATACTTTTCTCTGTTCTAAATGCTGATGTCCATATTCTACCCTCAGATACCTGCATACAATTCCCACTGACTTCAGGGAGAAAAAAGGGTTACTAAACTGTTCCATAACTGTTGTTCTTCTAGTTGTGATGCACTTGTCCATTCCATTCTTGGAGTGTGCATATCCTGTGCACTGTTGTCAGAAACTTTTCCCCTCCGTAGTACCCGTTAGAGCAGCTTGAGCTCCATCTGCCACTACATATCCTTGTGACCAGTCATAAAGAGCGGAGCCACCCCAACCCCTCTCGGTTTCTTCGTGCCAGAAACTCTGATGCAGAGGGGTAGGAGGGTGAGTCATGGAATTGACATGTGCAACTCTTCTCTAAGAACAACAGTTATGGAATAGGTTAGGAACTGTTTTTTCTTCAAGTGATTGCACATGTGCATTCCACCTGGGGTATGTCTACACTGAAATAAAACACCTGCTGCTGGCACACGTAGGCTGCCTCTGGCTCGCAGGGCTCAGGCTGCGGAACTATAAAATTGCAGTGTAGATGTATGGGCTTGGCTTGGAGCCGGGTTCTGGGACCCTCAAGATATGCTGGAATTAAGTGTGTGTCAGCAAGACTCCAGATTGAGAATCATTTCCACTTCACCAAGTAAACAGAGCTAGTAGATGGCTTCCTACTATTTAAGAGCACATCTTGAACCTCTTTTGAACAAGACTCTTCCCAACGATCTATCCATGAAACATCTAGGCTGTTAAATGAAGTGCCTGCAAGTTTGGGTGGAGTAGGTGACCATGGTCTCGAGAAATCACATTTGGGTCCAATGGAAGCAGTATCAGAGCTTTTATCAAAAGGGAGAGCAGTGTGGAGAACCAGTGCTCCCGAGGCCAACCTGGGATTACAAATATGAGTGGAGCATGTTCCTGTCTGATTTTTAGCAGAACTCTGTGAAGAAGTGGGATTGGTGGGAACGCATACTGGAGTTTGCCTGGCCAGGAAACTGTCCATTAGGGAACTCTGACGTGACCTTGAAGGAAGCAAAAGTGCTGGCACTTCCTGTTGGTTCTTGTTGCAAACAGGTCTACCTGGGGAGTCCCCTACAGCTGGAAAACGCACTTGGCTACATTCGGACATAGAGACCATCTGGGGTGATGCAAACAATCTGCTTAGGTTGCATTCAAGCTCATTCTGCACCCTTGGAAGGTGAGGTTGGTCAAACTGGCAATACAAAAATCCCAGAGTTGAACTGCCTTGTGGCAGATCTGGAATGAGCGGGCCCCTCCCTGCCGGTTGAGGCAGGACATTGCCATTGTGCTGTCTGTTAGAATATGTGCAGGCTTTTTACCTTTGATATGGAGTAACAAACCCTGACCTGATATTTGTGTGTAGAGACAGGTCCCTTGTGGACCATAATCCCTGCATCTGAAGGGAACCTAGATGAGCCCCCCAACCCAGAGCAGACACATCTGTCACTAACATCAGCAAAGGTTGAGGCAGAATAAAGGAACATCTACACATATGTTTACAGGATTTGTCCACCAGTCCAGAGAAGCGAAAATCTGAAAGAGTAACCTCACCACAAGCCTTAGAAGGTGACAGCTCAGAGATAATATAGAGGCCAGCCAAGTCTGTAGTTCCCTGAGGTGCAATCTGGCATGTTGGACTGCATATGTGCAAGAGGCTGCCTGCCCCCAGAAGCCTCATGCAATTCCATGCTGTCATAGTTGGGTGAGCCTTGACATCTAAAACAACTGATTAAGTTGTCTGCAATCTTGACCATGGAAGGAAAGCTCTGGCTTGAGTCGAGTCCAGGAGTGCCCCTATGAATTCTAATCTCTGAAATGGGGAAGAGGATAGACGTCTCCATGTTGATTGACAGTCCCGGAGCTTTGAAAGTTGACCGGATAAGAGAGATGCTGGATAGTACCTGAACTCTGGACTGGCCTCTCACCAGTTAATCATCCAGGTAGGGATACACTTGCACACCTAATATCCTCAGAAACACAGCTACCACTGCCTTGCATTTTGTAAAAACTCTGGAAGCTGCGGACAGGCCAAATGGTAGCGCTGAATTGGAAGTGAGAATGGCTCACCGGGTACCTTAAATACTTCCTGGGGCCCTGGATAGATCGCCATATGGAAGTATGCCTCCTTTAAATCAAAGGCAGCATACCAGTCTCTGGGTGCCAGGGAGGGGATAATGGAAGCAAGCAAGACCACAGAAAGCTTTTATCTTTTTCTGTTGAGTTTATGCAGGCCTAAAATTGGTCTAGACCTCCCTTTGCTTTCAGGATAAGGAAATAGAGGGAATAAAACCTCTCTATGACACTGAGGAACTTCTTTTATGGCTCCCAACCAAAGCAGAGATTGCAACTCCTAGAGAAGGAGCTCCTCGTGAGAGTAGTCCCTGAAGAAGGATATAGGGAAGGGTTGGAAGGAGGGGTAGAAATAAACTGAAGGGTGTATCCCTCTTCCACAGAGCTTAAGACCCATTGGTCTGAAATGATTGAGGACCAAGCACCCAGAAAGTGGGACAGATCGTTTGCAAACACAGGGAAAGGAGAGGCTGGAATTTTGGAGACCGGTATGGTGTCCTCCATCAACCCATCAAAACATTTGTTTAGTGCCCCCAGGGTGCCTAGATGAACTAGGAGCCGTTGCAGTAGAAAGTAGGAAGAAAGTAAAAGAAACACCACCACCAAAGTCCTGCACTGTGCTCTGTGACAAATCCACCTTCTACATCACTTGACTGAAAGGCACTGTCTGTCTATTTAGACTGTAAACTCCTTAGTCCAGAGACTACATCTTCTTCTACAGTACATTTTGTAAAGCACCAAGCTTATTGCAGAAGCTTCTTAAATGATATTCCAAGAACACTGGATGGATCCTTGAATGTATGTAAAATTGCTTAATATCAAATTTGTTCAGTTTTCAAGTGAAAAGATGCTGGACCTTGACTCTGTTAAGCAGTCTTCTACCACTGTAACGCCATCAACTTCAGTGGATTTACACTACTGTAAAACCAATATAATGGAACAGAGAATCAGATATGGCTTTTTTCCACCCAACTGTCAGTGCCACACTCAAGCTGGGATCTGAAAGTAAAGTTGGGTTCTTTCTAACTCATACATCATCATCAGTAATAAAGATTCTGCAGTTAGATCTGTGATAACAATTCTATTGATGATGCACAAACCAGAATGGAAGCCAGCTCATTCTCCCAGAGCTGCATGGGCTCTGCTGTACGAACAGGAGTGAAAAGTGTAAAGTAAGATCTTATTGTTCTGAAGGTAAGTGGATATGACTAAACACATATAAAAATAGATCTCTTGTATAAGAAGATGCCATTTTTCTGACCTAAGCTGAACTTTACTAATCAACTACTGTTTGTTTTGCTTAAAGAAGCAAAATATTCCTATCACCAAGTGCACACTCCAAGTGAAAACACTAAACATTCAAACATCCAGTTCAGTGGTTCTCAACCTATTTACCATTGTGGACTGCATATGCAGCTCTCTATGTGTTATGTGCTCCACATCCATACAATATACATACTACCTGTATGGCCCTGAGGATGTCACATGGGCCGCAGCTGTGTACTGATTGGGCCGCAAGGGGCCTGTGGGTTGAGAACCGCTGGTCCAGTCCTTACTGTTCTGTATGATGCAATACTAGCAAACTGACACATGGGTAGAATGGCTACATTATTCTTTGGAACAGAATTATATAAACACTATTAATGGCATGTTTCTGCAATTTTTCAACAGCATTGTAAAAAAGGAAAGCAGTAAACTACCTGGTGGAGGGGAGTATGTTCTCTGAAATCCAGCTCTGCATACCAAGCTACAGAACTGAGCAGGAACACGCTGGTACAATCTATGGCATATCTGCTTTCCAATAGTTTTTCCTTCTACACATTTTTTAATCCGTTGGAAGGCAGCTGATAAAACAGGATTATGTATTTTTTCTATCTGTAATATAAACAACAATACTGTAGTATAAACAGACAGTTATAGATCCATACTATTGAAAGCACACGTTGTCACTCGTATAATTTACGGTCTTCAATCTAACAAGCATTTTTTTTTTTCAGTTTGAGCTAATCAGTAGTACAGCGTGCATAGATCTAAAGTGTGCAATTGCTCAGGAGAAAAAGTACCATGACCCCAGTGCTTCTCATTGAAGTCGATAGGAGCACCATTGTGCCCTGTTCCAGTGATTTCTAACGGGCGAGTTGTGTGGTACAGATGTAAGTCACAACCATAAATGTTAATGAAAGTTGCGTATGTGGTTAGGACCTGATCCAGCCAGGGGCTGAGAGAATCCTGTGAGGATCCTGACTTCAGTGAGAGTTAAAGTTACTCAATTTTTCACAAGATAAAGTCCACACTGAGAAAAGTCTTTGGACTGAATTGTGCCTTTCAGGCACAGTTCTGCATCACAGAGGATGTAGGAGGCATTGTGCCTCAGGTAGGCACCAAACTTTGGGGGGGCACAGCCATTCATATTGGATGGATCAGTGGTCCATCGAAACCAGGATCCTGACTATGACAACAGCCCACACCAGATGCCTCAGGGTAAGGTGTAAGAACCCCAGTTATGGAATAACCTGTCCATAGAAGAAGTTTCTTTCTGACCCACTCAGTTAGAGATTTAGCATATGCCCTGAAGCATGCGGGTTTATGTCCCTCTACTGGAACTGTGAATGATTTCATATCCATAGAACTGTAAAATCCTGTTTTGAACCCTGCTGAACTCTTGTGGCAATTAATTCCACAGGGCAACTGTACAATGTGTAAAATAGCATTTCCTTTTATCAGATTTATATTAGCTGCCTTTCAATTTAATCAAATATCCATTGTTCTTGTATTATGAGATGGTAAATAGAAGTGTCCGATTTACCTTCTGTACACCATTCTTTATTCTGTATAACTTTATCATGTCTCCTCTGTATCATCTCCCCGCTAAATGAAATAGTCCCTGTTGCTTCAATCTCTCTTCCAATAAGACACAGAGATGTCAATGAACTTGACTAAGGTCATACAGTGAGTCAGTGATAGAACTAGAGACAGAATCTAAAAGTCCTGACTTCTAGTTACCTGCTATATATAAGCATTAGATAATGCTCCCTCCTCCCCACAGAGGATACATCTACTACAGAGACTTATATTTCTCTATGTATATGCTGTACATCTTCATGTTCCCTTCATGCATTAAAAGTAGAGCCTGGAATCTACTACTGACTACATCAGGAGCGGAACCAGCTCCTTGATCCCTGAGAAATTGCTATAACTGAGGACTTGAGGCTGCAAAATATAAAATAAACATATAGTACCTTCTGAAATAGTAAATGAGGATTTAACTGCATCTTTTTGAGTGATCAGCTGTAACGTTTTTTAAACAGTCATCTTAATTGAGCAATAAATCTAGATTTCATTCACAATTTCACTAAAGTTCATTCAAGTATTATAAGGAGCCAACTGATTTTGATCTTATTCTTTTTTTAAAATGTATCCTTCTTAATTCCAGGTTCTTGTAAATGTCTGATGCCTTAAGATTCCTTCAGATTCATTTTACCAAGGACACTCTCTTTACCTTGAGAACACGAAGCCCAGCTTTTTCAAATAGTTTTTCTCGGTCCTTGAATTCCTGGCAGTATGATTCTACTGGAGAGATCTGGTAACGCATTTTGGTATCCCTTGTCTTGTCTCGGAGTCTTTCTGGAGGATAATCAGTTTCCAGATGGCCTGGATACATGTAGCAGAATATTCAATAATAATTTAAGACTTTCAGCTTGTTAAACTCACCCTCAATGCAACAAAGTCAGTGGAGGAGGAAGTTAATCGTTTATTTTGGTTGCTTAGTTAAGAAAGAAGAGTGTTACATATTCTCTGAAGCAAGCTGTTTGGGTCATCTGGATCAAGGCCTCCCCCTTACAGAGACCTTTGATAAGGGCATTGATGACTTAGGAGTTCTTTTGAGGGAGGTTGGGATATTCTGTATTCTTTTGTGCTGTAAGGGTCAACTGATTATTGCCAGTAAGTCATAAGTTTACTGCTACATCAATTTTAATTTTAAGATTTCTGTTTTAAAAAATATCAAGGACACTTGGGGCTTGATCCAGAGCTCACTGAAGTCAGTGAAAAAGCTTCTACTGAGTTCAATGAACTTTGGCTATGGACACTACAGCACCTTTTTACACTCTGGTACATTTAAATAAGATAAATATCTGTCCAGATCTAGAAATTCTTTAACTGATTCAACTTTGCTAAGGATGTTACAGCTTACATTTAAATTTGCTGAATATATTATGCCTGTTAAATCAAGTTCTACTAAAGGAACCAATGAAAAGTCAGAAGCAGAAGAGACACAGGATGTATCATCCCCATTATATATCTCTGCATTTGTATATCTATCTTTTATACAAGGGAACCCATCTTAAATGACCATCAAAATGTCCAGGAAAAACGGTTGTCTAATAGGGTTGGCTTTTAACTACAGGCCAAATAAAACTGACCTGGAAAAGGGGGATATTTCAAAGACAGAAAGTTGCCCATTGAGGTGGTATTTGGTACAGGTTTCAAATTAATTCTTACTGTAACTCCACTGAAATCAATTAATTGACTTCAGTAATTTCTATATTGAAGTCAAAGGGTCTGATTCACTCCCACCAGAGCAACTCTATCTGTGGGAAGCTGATAGCACTAGGTCTGCTGCCAGGAGGGGAGTGGCAGCAAGCAACATACAAAGTATGCAGGACCAGTTCAGCAAGGGTATGCACTGATTCAATACGTCTCCCAGGGAGCCTCAGCTGGCTAGACCTCTAGGCTGCCTTTCCTAGTGGAACTCCCAGAGTGAGGACTGGCAGCAGTCATGTCCGCCTCCAACAGCAACAGCCCAGTGGGATAAACTGCAACCCACTGGAATCTTGCCCAGTGAATCAACTGAAGTCAACAAACTAACACACGGTCTTTCAAGGCTTTGCATAGTACCTATTACCATAGTATCTAAGCACACAGACTAATCTGACACTACTGTATATTCATCCTACATACAAACTGAAATACAAGCTCATCTAAATATTAGTAAAACACACACATATTTTCTGCTTCATATTTGTTTTTATGTTTTACACTGACCCTCTGACAGCAGCAGTTCCTCTTGCTTGGCTCTATTATTCTCTTGCGCATCACACAGTAAATTTTCGATCAAGAACACCGCATCAATTACAGCATCAGGAGGACCTTGAATCTCTAATCTCGCCTTTCCACCAACCACTTCTTCTGATATGGATGCACCGAAACGCTGCAGACGAGACAGTTCTGCATGATCTTTTTTGCTAAGGTTAAAAATGTGATTGTTTTCGATAACGATATGGTGACTTTCCTGGACTTGCATTATGTTTTTGATCCATATTTTTGCTGCTTCCAGTGTTTCACAGCGGTTTCCAATAAGTTCAATGGCTGGTCCAGTTTTTTTATTCTCCATTTCAGCTTGTCTGTCAGAGTGTGACCCTGAAAGAAATGCTGTTTATACAAGTGCAATTGGTAGACTGAAAAGTTCACAAGTGCTGTCACAAATTTCTGTATGCAGCCTGAGACTTTGCAGCACAAGGAAAGCTTATTGCCCTTATGATACATTCAGAATGGGGATATTACGATAGACACTAAGGGGTAGATTTTTAAAGATATAAATAGCAGTTGAGCATGTAACTCCCATTAAATTTCAATTCTGCCTTTGAAAATTTCTCTGTAAGGGCCTAATTCCACTCCTATTCAAGTCAATGGCAAATCTCTCATTGATTTAAGTGGGACCAGGATTTGGCCCTAGTAATAATTAATAAATACAGTTTCATCCCAGGTGTATAACATCATTACATTTTGAAGTCAAATTAAATGGTAGTTCCTCTTCTGTGAGCCATTTAGAAACTTGTTCTTAATTTTCATCTTCTTCCACATTCCTCTAACGTGTGGTTTAGCAGACGCTGCTATTTCAGGAGACACTGGAGATGATGAAATTAAATATTTATACAGATTGAAAACATAAATCTTGCTTTTAAGTCTCTTGTTAGGGCTGTTTTTGTGTTAAGAGACTACATTGTAGTTCTACGGGGAAGTGAAGGAGAGGACACTGTCCTACTCACAAAGGAGCCCTTTTAAATCCCTTCTGGAGTTTGGCTCTGAATAAATGAAGTACCTTTTGCATTTTAACTACATCTGTGTTCTCTCTGGATTTTTTTTTTAAGTAGGATGTAAATCAGTGCTAAAATCAATGTGTTTTACTCATACTCGCTTTGCATTGGCTAGCTAGAATATGTTTCAAATGACAACATTCTCAGCTTATAATAAAGAGTCCATTGATGGAAATGGTAATAGGCTGGAGTGCTGCCTGCAATCATTTGAACATAGGAGGCACAACGCAAATACAACTCGCCTGCCTACAAGGAGGGAAGGAACGCCAACCCATGACGCCATCCTCATGTCTCTTGAACTGAAATTTTACCCTTTGGCTCCAGGACACAATCACATGGAGTACTTTGTGCCATCAACTCCCACTGATTGCAGTTGGTACTGACGGTGCTCAACATCTCACACAACCAGGCCAAAAGTTGAACAAAACTGTACTGGAAACTCTAAAGTGGTAACTAAAGACATGGCACTGCCTATTGCAGGTAGAGGTTTTACTGTTAATTAAACATATACAATAAGCTCTGGAACTTTATAGTAACTAAAATGCACTCAGCCTTCCTGTGAAGCATCAAGCTACCCAAACACTGCTGGGGGCAGCAAGGACCTGAGTCTGATATGACAAATCCTATGTTCTACAGGATGGTGCTGATCATGTTCTATATCTGTTTGCATGAGCTGGAATGAAGGTGCCAAAGCAGAGTAGCTAGAACTTTCTGTGTCAACAATTTACCATACCCATTGGCTCCTGAAATGGTAGGAATTGGGATGAAGATGATTGATTAGAGAGATTGATAACTATCAAAGCTCAGCTTCCTCCAGTTTGTATTCACATTTAAGAAATCCTGCTTTTGAACTAGCAAACTCAAAGATCAGTACTCAGCCCTAACTCCTGATAACATCAATGTCGATGACATGGGTTCTTCAAGGGGCAAAAGAATGCAAAGCGTCTGAAGAGTTGAATAGTTAACTCAACAGTTAGATTTTTGTTTACATGAATGAGTCAAAAGGAGTCTAATTAAATATCATAATACTAAAACTAATTTTGCAAAACACAATTTTAGAAGAGGTAACACATTTTCCCCAATATACCAAAACCAGTATTGTCTTCTTCACCTCTTATCACCCAGTCTGACAAACAATGAAACAAGAGTCAAAAATTAAACACAGAGCTCTTGTGTGATGGTTTCCCCCAGATAACAGATATTTATTAGGAGAGTATCATTTTCAGAACCTTACTCACCCTTTGTGCTCCTTACTCACCCAAATCATCACTTCTGTTGCATTCCACATCTTGTCCCAGTTTGCTTTTCGCTGAATCAAACTTGGTTCGGAAAGCCTTGACAAAGAAAGATTTAGGATCAGTTTACAACCAGCTATGTGTCAAACCACTAACAAATGAACAGAGTCTGTCTCTCCAGATTTCTGTTAGGAAAGCAATTTTAGTCAGTCTCCTTTCACACAGGGCCTGATGCTGGTCTCCTGTGCCAAGCCTGGTTCTGGGGCTTTGTACAGGGACATGGATGGCATGCGTGGGTGGCATTCTCCCCAGTTTCATCTGGAGGTAATATGTGGGGAACCCATGCGGCCAGGCTGTTGTTATAGTTTATGGGCCAGAGCAGAAACAATTTCTTCTACTTACAGTTTTATGCTGATGGATCCATGCTGTGCATTGTGATGCACTGACTATCCCCTTACCTAAGTCACAAAGGTCCTCTCCATAGTCTCATGTGGAAAGCCACTGAAGAGCACTGCTCTGTGCAGTGGGGTTGGGCTTCCTGCAGACTGACACCCCTGAGCAGTGAAAGTACACTATTCATGTTGTTTTTTAGCCTTCAAGGCCTGTGGCAAGGACAGGACAGCCTTTGGCACATTAGTGAAATAACTGGCAGTGTGAGCATGTGGTCCAAGGAAACACAGAGACAAATGATAACCAAATGTAATTTGTCAGAGTTCTGACATATAGAAAAAATGATAAAAATCATCTTTAAATACCATGAAAAGTACATTGCAAATTAATACTACATTAGAAAATAAGATTTTACACTGAATTATACTAACAAAAAAATGAAGAAACTACACTGTAGATCTAAAGCATAGATGAGCAAAAGTCATTGTAATTAAACTCTGAAATTTTTATTGTAAATACTTCTAAAACTGAGGGGCAACATCAGAGTCTACATGCAAGGTGGTGTAAGTTACATGTCAATGAGTGGGTATAAGTCGGTTTATTTGACTCTAGGAGTCAAAATTGATGTCGTCTACACATCAGTGGCATGGAAGAAATGGTGTATCAGGAAAAGCAACTAACAAGAAGGACCAAGAGGGTAGGATTGGCTACCCCTTTTTCCAGATCTTCAGCATGTAAATTATGTTCGGACTCCCTTACACCCAGTTACTGATACCACATTACACTTCACATCTGAATTTGGTCCTGAGTATGATTTAATTGTCCATGATAGCCTTTCAGAGCAGAAGCAAGAGCATAATGTAACCTTTTGGCCAGCCCACACTCTATTGTGCCGTATATTACTTTTGCTACAGTATACAGGCTCACTCCTCACCTACTGAAGTCAGTGGGAGTTTTGGGTTCAACGAGAACAGCATCAATTTATAATTATATTTTTATGTATATAGATACCTAAAACAGCTGTGTATAAATCATCTGGGCCAAATTCTCTGCTGGCATAAACTAGGACAGTTCCATTGAAATCACCAGCAGACAATTTGGCCTCAGGTGTCTACAGCCTGGTCTACCATAGAAGGCAAAGTCCTTTGTAACAATACATTGCTACAGGAGATGATTTGACAGAATTTGCTAAGTGCATTTCCTGTGGCATAACTTCAGTAGAAGTACTTTAGGAAGTCCCCAGTAAGTTGGAAGCAACAACTTCACTGTATACTGTATGCTCCAGGAACTTCAGGAGGCCTAAGTGACAGCCATGCCATTGGGGCTACAGATAGGAAGGCAACTAAGTAAGCTTCCCAGGGGACTGGTGGATTTCCAGTCAGAGTTTGTCTGAAGTTCCTGCCAATTGAACCAGCAGAGACACCCCGTCTGCACATTTTCCCTTCCGCAGAGCCATGCACCAGGGAGAAAGCGGGCAACTGGGCAAAAGAGGGAAAGCACTCTGCAACGCTAGACTAGAATTCATATTCCTTGAGGATTTGTTTCTTATATAGGCTGATTCCTGTCCCCTGCCATTTATTGTCTCTTTCAGGGAAAGATGTCATTCAAACTCCAAGTCCAATCTTGCCAGGTTTGATCTTCCCCTGGGTTTATTCACAAGACATACCAGAGGCTTGCTATCTATTGTTACAAATGTAACATATAGTTTGGTATGTAAAGTACTTTAGCTTGTAGAAATTCAAGGAAACTTTCTTCATGGTTATTGTGAGTTCTTCTACTTATAGTTAACACTAAATACCTTACCTTGTAGACAGAACTGTTATTTGGATGGATCACAAAATACACATCTAACTTCCTCCCAGGATGTTCCTTTGCAAAGCTTAAAACTTCATCAATCATAATATCTGCCACTTCATCCTTTGGCAAATGTAATACTCCAGATCCAATTACTGGGAAGGAAATTGAAGGAAATGGAGGCTCCTGAATCTTAAGCAAACATCTTGACATTGCAGTTTTTAGTACCTGCAGAAAAAAAGGAGAGTTTTAGACCTTATTTTACTTTTTGACATGAAATAGAGGAGTGAAAATCCTCTCTAACAGAACATCACCTTGCGTGAATCACTGCGGCTTTGTGATGACCATACTATGTGGAGCACAGACTTGCAGGCCAGATTGTATCCTTTTGTCAATATGAATTTCTCACAAGCTAGAGGAAGTTTTTGAGACTCAAACAGAAATTCCTGCTGAAGAAATGAGCCTGCTTTTTGCAGAATTGCTCTTGAAATGTTTCCTCTTGACAGATCATCATGTATGACCACAGAATTAACAATAATTGCAGTCTGGAAGACAAAAACACAAGCTCTCAGTATATTTCACTTCAGGTAAATGCATATTCTACCTGCACTGCAGTCAGATCCCCACTTCAAATGTACCTGTGCAGCTGGTGGAATTTTTTCTTATAAAAACTCCATCCATCCAGAAACTTCACTTTTTAAGGGACATCTACACTACATGCTTCTTTCAATGTTGTGTAGAATACATAACACTGAACCCCCCCCCCCAGGTTGAATAACAGTGTAGCCAGTGAGGGAAGGCTTAGGCAAGTAGAGTAAAGACACAGTTGAAGAGTGTGCTTATGTACATCCCCTACACTCGTTCTACTCACCCAAGCTGTGCCTCACCATCTACACTGCTTTTTTTAGCATTGTAGTGTTACTGCCTCCCAGCCGCTGGAGCCTTTTCCCAGTGCAAGGAAAGACTCCAGCAGTCAAGCAGGGGAGATGGGGAAGGAAGCAGCAGAGAAAGGGTCCACTAGCTCCCCAGTGTTGGAGCCCTTCCCCTCCGCATGGAAAGGCTCTGTCAGGGGGCCATTCCTAGAGCCTTTCCACTGCAGTGAAAGGCTCCGGCAGCTAGGAGCTGCTGAAATGTTCCCCGTCTCCCTCTGCCAGAGCCTTTCACTGACATGAGTAGCTACACACTGCAGCAGGCAGTAGATGCAGCAGGCTTTTCACTGTGGCATGTAGCTACATGTAGCCTACACACCACCACCAGTGGTGTGTACTGTAGATGTAGCCTTAAAGTAGTAAGCACTGCCGGTCACGCAAATAGTCCTCACAATCTTGTGTACTCAGGAGGAATTGCAAAATTATGGCTGCCTTCTGTGCAGGAGCACTATGAGAGGATGGAAATCCCTAAGCTTTCTCCTTCTGCCCACCACATACTCCCTAGGGCTGCTGTAATTTGGAACTAAGTTTGTGAAATGCAAAATTTTTGCTTATGGTATTTTGACCACAGAAATAATGAGTCTAATCTTAGCTTGACTGTTTAAGAGTAACTAAAAATACAAGGCTTTGGGCTACACCCATTCAATTGCTCAGAAGAAATATAACTTTCTATAGTCAGTTGATAGAATTTCTCCCCCATCAACCAAAGGTCATAATTGCTGCCCTTTATTTCCACAGCTATAAAAACAAACTTCTTAAGGAGTCAAGATGTTTCTTTAACAAACAAGGTATGGAAAATTCTGTGAAATAAGGTCTGTTTCAAACAAATACTATCAGGTGATGCAGCTTCCAATCTGATCACCCTTTCTGGTTTGCCCATAACTAGGATTGCCATGTTTTTTACCATGCTATAATAAATTAAATAAAATACTGGTTAAAGATGATGTGTACACTGGTTTTAGAAAATATCTTAAGCTGTTGTAGTATATATTGAATGCCCCAATAGTGAGACTGAGGGCTGGTCTACACTAATGCTATAAATCAATCTAAGTTACGCTAGTTCAGTTACTCAAGTTACGTAACTGAAATCAACATAAATATATGTCAACTTACAGTGGTGTCTACACAGCACTATGTCAATGGGAGATGCTCTCCCATCGACTTAGCATGTCTTCACCAGACCCGCATAATCAACACCGCTGCATCAATCGCAGCAGTGCCGATTTAGCCAGTAGTGTAGACATCTTCAGAGGAGCATTCGTCCCATTCCAGGAAAAAACAAAAAAAGCAGGACATGATAGGAGCTAGGAGAGAAAACTTCTTGGGGATACATTAAAAAATGTTAACTATTAAAATATTACATTAAAAAAAAGTAAATGTTAATGTAGAGTCAGGACAGTCAATAATTTTATTCTATGTGTTGTTGTCTTCTATCCTCTCATAGCAGGGCTCACTCAGAAAGAAAACTTTTCAAATTCAATAGCTATATTATAAGACGACACCTGGGTATATATTGTTTTGGTCCACTGATTCTAATGTTGGGTGGCTAAAGACAAGAGGACAAGATGCATATTTACTCGATCAATACAACATGCCCTCTAATCTCTTAGGATCCAATCCTGCAAGGTGCTGGGATGCAACTCCACACTCAGCACTTCACAAGATCAGGGTCCTCAGGGTCCACTGTGAAGACTTACTTGCTGATCTTCAATTTGTCCTCTTATGATATGTAGGTGAAGACCATTGATTGTGATGGAATCTTGAAGCTGGTTTGCTGAAGCTGGCAGAGTCTCCTGAAGTGAGTTGATGTCACTCCTCCCCAGCAACTTTTCACAGGCCCTTTTCATTGCTGCAACTGTGGGCTCATCAACATTCACCAAGTGGATTTCTTTGACCCAGCCAAATAATGGAGCTAACTCAACAAAATTCTTTATAGTCTGTACAATCACATGAGCACATAAATCTAGTGGGAAGCCAAAAATTCCTGAGCTCACTGCAGGGATAGCCACAGACTTTATATTATTATCTGGAGCATTAACATATTTCAGGACATTTATAATGGCTGCCTCAAGTGTTTGACAACATCTCTCACTTTCATATGCAGACCATCTTGGACCTACTGTGTGGATAATTTTCTTACAAGAAAGCATGCCTCCACCTGTTACCGCTATTTGACCAGTGGTGAGTGTTCCATGACGCTCAATATAACGTTTACTCTCTTGTTTAATTTCTAGCCCACCAGCTTTCGCCAGGGCAAGAGCAAGGCCTCCAATATGGTGCAAATGTTCATTGGCTGCATTCACCAAAGCATCAGCATTATGTCTTGTCATATCATCCATCCAAACAGATATCTCAATTCCTTCCTTCAGGGTTTTCCTGTATACTTCAAGGGGACATCTTATACTCTTAAAAAGAGATATACAACCAAACTTCTTCTCAATGAGGTCACGTAGACAGCTCTCTCGTCTTGTAAGGATTTCATAAACATCTTTACTGATGGGAATTGTTAAGCTTTCCTCCTCTGTATCCATGCTGGACACTAGATAATAAAACAATTAAGAGAAATGCAGTGATCCAATGTCAAACACATTTTTAATGCACAGCATATTTTAAAGCTTTCAATCATTATTTTTTAAATTGACTTGGGATGATAAGGGGAAATTACTTACTGATCATTTCTTTTGTCATAGTCTTCATTTCTCCCATTCTACCTCAGAGACACAGTAAGGATATGCAGTTTTTGGCTCCCTTTACCAATAAAGCAAGGAAGCAAAGGCCTTATATAAGCCCCAGTCTGGTCCTATTCTTGCTCATTCACTTGTCAACTGCCATGACTTTAACTCTCCTCCTACCCCAGCCAGGCCAATTCTTTCTGTCCTAAATCAATGTGCAGCCTGTAAGGACTCTGTCCTATAGACCAGGTTACATTTACACCCTCACCTTTGTTCCAATCAAGTGCCTTTCCCTGACTTCCCAGAAGGAACTCTTCTTCCTTCCTCTGTCCATGTTGACTTCCCTGTCTGGGTGGTCCCATCATCCCATCCTTCTTCCAGGCCTTCTCACCTTTCTTCCAATCCTTTATGCATCACCACTAATGTGAATTTCAGGAGCGTGGGGAGTCCATTTTGATTTTGAGGAACAGAAGAGGCTCAGCATCAACATTCTGGAACTGCCAGATATCCACCTCATCCTACAAACCTGTGAACACTTGGTTTTCCAGTCCTATGTTCTCACCCAATAAGCTCACTCTTTAGTTCTGCAGCTCCTCACAGGCCCTCCCTTTGAACCCACAGAAGGCACATTCTCCCTGCAAGTCTGAACTTTAAGCAGCACTGTAGAAAAAGAAAATGGGCCACCATCTTGTTTCACATAAATCACCAAACAACTGTCAGATCAATTTTTTTTTATCATAACCCCCCAGATAGAACTAGCAATGAAGAGCTGCAAAGATCTTTATACCATTACCAATCCCCGGAGATGTATACTCTTCTGTGTTGGTAGATTTCTATAGAACTACATACAGTAGTCAAATATTAGAGGGGTAGCCGTGTTAGTCTGGATCTGTAAAAAGCAACAAAGAGTCTGACGAAGTGGGTATTCACCCACGAAAGCTTATGCTCCAATACGTCTGTTAGTCTATAAGGTGCCACAGGACTCTGTTACCTACTTCATGTAAAAAGTATCTTATTAACTTGTTTGTGTAAATTCTTACAATTTGCATGAGTTTAACCACACTTTTCAGCTGACCTACAGTACCTATTTCTCTGCACAGTTAGAGTCTAAAAATAGACTGTTCTGCATCTCATTGTTAGTAAGGTGCACTGAATTTAAACGGCTTTCATCAAAACATCTTTTCTTTAGCACACCTGTACTGTACTTTTAAAGGTGTGAGGAAACCACATAAAACTAACGAAACATAAAATTGACATCCTTGTCCAAGTCGTACATTTTGGTTTGCTTTCAACTAAACCATTTGCATGCTTTCAACTTTACTTGTTTTAGCGGTAGTGAAATTTCAGTTCAAAGAAGAAGGGTATAAATTCATAAATTCTAATCTGCTCCATAATGTGAAAAGAAAGAAGCTTACCTGAATCGTAATCCTCCTCAAGGGTCTCTGGATTGGACGTCTGTGAAATAATACAAAAAATAAGGGGGAAAATTAAACATATTATATTACACACACATATAAATATACTCTAGTGAGCATGTGCAAACTAAGATTTTTCTAAGATTTATAATTTAGCCAAATGTGGACAGATTTTCACAAGGATGGCAAAAGGATAAAAGGCCACTTTCCTGCCAAATTTCAATTCCCTGCTCCAAGGCCTGGGAGAGCTACAGCTTTTCAAAGAAAAGGTCACCTGAATTTTCTTAACATTACAACAAGAATCTTCTTAACATTCAATACACTAAAAGGCAATGTATTTTTCCCTAGCCTTGTTCTTGGAAATGGCTCAACATTTTGGCTGAAAATTTCAAAAGAAAAGAAAAAAAAAAAGAAAATCAGCCTGAGACAGACATCCATCATGGAAAATTTCTGCCTGAATGGTTAAAGATTGGCAAAGTTACAAGCAAGTGAAACCACAGTCTTATAATGGGAAATGTCAGACAAATTTAATAATAGGCTGTGCTACCAGCTCCACCCATAATATATAAAAACATATTCATAAATAATGAATAACAGTGGAACTTCTACAAAACACTGTTCAAAAACGTTTATGTAAACTGATTCCTGTTAGTCAACCTATGATCAAACTGATGTGCGCGCACACACAAATGTTTCATTAAAAATCACGGAGCATTTATTTTGGGGAAAGGAGAAATAAAAACTTCGATATATACTTACACTACACTACTTACACATTTAATTTAACACAATACTGAAAGACTCTGCCCCCTTCACATTAGCAAAAACAGCACAGCAAATAACAAGAATAAATAAATGATCAGAACATCAAATTAACTTTCTCTTGGTTACGTTATCCACTTCAGGAAGCTGTTATCTACTCCAAACTGAAACATGCCCAATGTGGGAAAAACAGCCAGCATGGGCAGGGAATGTGCTGGGTTAAATCTTGCAAGGCCAAATTCAACCCAATGCAATTTTATTGACTTCCTACTCATCATCAGGGAAAAACTGGGGGGACAAAATAATCCCTGCTGTAACTCCACTGAGGTCAATAAAATTGCACTGGGGTGAATTTGGCCCTGCAAGATTCATCCCAGCACATTCCCTGGCCATGCTGGTTGTTTTTCCCACATAGGGCATGTTTCAGTTTGGGGTAGAGAACAGCTTCCTGAAGTGGATAACATAACCAAGAGAAAGTTAATTTGATGTTCTGATCATTTCTTTATGTTTTCTTCCTGCCCTCCCTCAGGAGATGGTAAGGGGCCTCCAAAGGCCATTTTCCAATATATTAGGAGTGCAGAGCACTTGTGTGAGATGGAGGGAAGCTTTCAGGGCTGGGTGGGGATGGGGCAGTAGGGAAGGAGAGGAGGGGTACTCCTCAGTCCTTTCTCCCTAATGACCACATAGCTGCATCAGGAGCTGTGCTGACCAGAAAATCCTGCTTGGGCCTGGCCTGAAATTTCTTCAACGATTTGAGCAGGGAAATCTCTTGGGAATGGGAAGGGGGTTATTCCTTGGGAAAGGGCCAAAACAGTGAAGCCCAAATCTAAATGAAGGGGCTTCCGCACAACTCTGGACCTGAGCGTGTGTGGGGAGGGATATGAGGCAAAATTTACAGCTCTCCCCCTGCCTGTATGTACAGGCCACTTTTAGCTGACAAATCTTCTCCCTTCTGTAGGCACGTGGTTTATTTCCCTGACTGTCAAGCCAGGTTACACACTAAGACAGAACCACCTATTGGCTACAATTCTGCTTGTTTCTTTCAGTCTAAATCAGTAATCCCTCCAATATCCTTATTCCCTTAAATACCCTGACTCTGGCACTTTGCGCCCCACCCCCGAATACTTCTTTGACTCTCCTTTCTTCCTGGTCACTTACCAACATCTTCATCATGTTCCTCATCTTCAAGCCCCTTCTCCTCCCCACCCCCACTGAGCCCTCTCCTCCCCTCCAGCACCCACCGGTCTAACTGCCTTTCCCCAACAGACTTTTCCTAACTCCCCTGGAACCCTCCAGGCAGGTTGCCATGGTGCTCCCAGACAACTGTCAATAGGAGTTTCAGCCTGCAGGCTCAGCATCTTATTTTGCACATTAACCTTCAATCCCTCTGCGAGGTGGTAAATACTATCCTAGGAGGGAGAGGATATAACCCTTGTTCTGCAGCTAGGACAACACAGACTAGACAGATTCAAACCAAAATTTTCCAGCCTGGGGGCCTCAGCAGGCTCCCAGATACCATGGAACTGGGCACAGTATAAGAAGATGGATAGATAAGGATTATAAATTGCCTGGTTAACTTCAGAGGGACTCATGGGTGCTCAGTACCTCTGGTAATCTAGTCATTTGTGTTGGTGCCTCACTTTAGGCACTCAGTTTTGAAAATGTTGGCCTCGGTCATTTGTCTAAGATTAAAGAGAGAGTCAGTAGCTGATTTTAACTCAGAGTTTCTGCCTCTCAGACCTGTGCCCAGACCCAGTGGCGACATATGTGGACGGGGGGGGGGGGAAGAGGGGCAGCCGGGTCACGCCTCCCCCATTTCTGCCAAGGTTTATATTTTTATTTTTTTTTTTGCAGGGAGTGGGTTCAAAATACCCCCTCCACACACACACACTTTCAACAGTTACGCTTGCCTCTACCCAGACCACTAAATACATTGCTTCTGTGTATGACATACAGCTTATAGTAGAGATCTGTAAGCAATCAAGGAACCAACTGAGATAAATGCTATAGAACTCTTTGCATTCATGCCCCGGTGAGATTTTAGTACTTCTACTACATGAAGAGTTCAGCAAGTCAAAGCCATCATGTGCAGCTTTCAAAACTCCTTATCCTACAAAGCATATTCAGCAGGGAATCAGCGCCACAGGACTGTAAGGTGTTAAATTAGCACACCCATTACGAATATCTGTGCTAGTTAAAAGTCTGAGGCTTGATCCTTATCTTCTTATCATGTCCTTGTTTCTCCTGACAATATATATAGGAACATAAAGCTGGGTTTAACCAGCTGCTGTCATCACAATGACTGAGGTGGATTAAAACTAAAACATTGCCCATTTGGAGTCATAGGACTCAGTTGCTGCCTGTTGTAATGCAGTGAGTGAGACAGTATGTGTGGGGGAGGAGGAAGGAAAGGTGATATGTTGCCCTCTACTAGCTAGGATGCTACCAGCAGTTTCACGAGTTCTCATTTAACTCAAGTGCTAGAGGGCTGTGTTTTTGGCGCAATATCAATAACTTATGCCAACTGTTCATTTTCTGAAGACCAAATGTCGTCATCTAGATGAGCCACAATTTGGAGGGGTTCTGCTCCAAATCCAGATATTACTCCAGGCCCTAATTTCTTTCTTTAGAAAAGAACCCATTATTTATTTAAGAAGTTTTAACAAGTTTACAAATTCTTGCCATGTAAACATCAGCAACAAAACAACCATTACAACAGTTAGCTTTTGTTTAAAGAGAGATACAGCAATATATAAACATCAGATCTTTCTATTTAACAGGGTGTTACCATATTACACAGCGAGCATCATTGCAATACTTCTGTCATTTCTAATTATTTTATTAAATTTAATGAAATTTCTATATGCACATATTTAACAGACCAGGTATGTCTATCAAATGCTAATATTAAAACAAAATGGACAGGTGGGCTGAGTTTTTTTGCAAGTGAATGTACTTTGTCTGAGTACTGAATAAAAGGTGACCGAATATCTATCTATCTATCCATCCTCTGTGTATTTTGTTGGGTACATAATTGGTGTGTTAATTTTTCCATAAAAACAATCTCACATATTTTTGAACCATTCCTCAATGGTTGGGATATTTTATTTTTTTTCCAATGAGAGGCTACTAATAGCCAAGCAGCTACTAGCAGATGAGAGATTAATTCTTCATTTACTTTTGTGTGACCATTTCCAATAGAAAGCCCCAGGAGGATTACCAAAGGATCGTTTGGTAATAAGTATCCAATAATTTGTGATATTTGATTGTGAACTGCAGCCTAATACTCTCTAATGATCGGACATGTCCACCATATATGCATAAAATCTCCTCTTTCACCACAATTTCTCCAATATTCATCCCTATTCAGTCTATACAGACGCTCCCCGGGTTACGCAAACCTGACTTATGGAAAAAGTTCCATAAATTCCGTAAGCCTTTTCTTTTTTTTTTGGCGTAATTGTCGGGTATACGTCTCCGACTTACGCAAAATTCGACTTACGCAAGGCATTCCAGAACGGAATGCTTGCGTAAGTCGGGGAGCATCTGTATGTGTATTTTTAACCTGACTGGTGCGAGGTACCACTGTAACACTGAGGATGCTAGTCCTCTTTTCCAGATCAAACCCGATTCCTCTGGGGTAACTTGTCTATCCAGAGCCTTTTCCCAGAGTGCTTCATATGGACAATTTTCTGTTAGGAAAGCTGGCTGCAAAGATTGATATAAATTAGTTATTTTTTTTATTTCCAGATACCATCACTTCCATTAAAGTTAGCTTTCTGTATAAAACACATTTTCTAGAAAGATGAGAAACATAGTACCTGACTTGAAAGTACTGGTACCAGGGAAAAGCGGGCCAATTAAAATTAGTTTTGATATCTAAATAAGTTAGAAACGTTTCTTTACTGAATAGTTATTCCTTATCCTTATTCCTTATCGTCTGTGCAAAAGGCTCCATAGCCAGTGCAAAAAGTAAAGGAGACAATGGACATCCCTGCCTAATCGCTTAGCATAATTCAAAAAGGGGAGATTTAACCCCATTAACTGGCACCACTGCTTTTGGGCTGGTGTAAAGAGCAGTTATGCATTTAAGGAATTGGTGACCAAAGTCCATATGTGACAGGACTTGAAATAGAAAGTTCCTCTCTATTCTACCAAAGGCATCTAGTGATAACAAGAGAAATTGATTTTTTTGATCTGGCATTATGGATGATTCCAAATACTCTCTGAATATTGTCTGACATTTGTTTATCCTTATTTAATCCAGTTTGGTCTGGATTTATATAAACTAAAGCATAAACTGCAATCGGCTAGTTAGTATTTTTGCTAAAATCTTAATTTCATGATACAACAGAGATATGGGCCTAGAGCAGGGGTCGGAAACCTTTGGCACGCGGCTCGCCAGGGTAAGCACCCTGGCAGGCCGATCCGGTTTGTTTACTTGCTGCGACTGCAGGTTCGGCCGATCGCAGCTCCCACTGGCCGCGGTTCGCCGCTCCAGGCCAATGGGGGCTGCGGGAAGCAGCGGGGGCCGAGGGATGTGCTGGCCGCCCTTCCCGCAGCCCCCATTGGCCCAGAGCGGCGAACCAGGGCCAGTGGGAGCCGTGATCGGCCAAACCTGCGGTCGCCGCAAGTAAACAAACTGGCCCAGCCCGCCAGGGTGCTTACGCTGGCGAGATGCGTGCCAAAGGTTGCCGATCCCGGCCTAGAGGAACTGGACAAGGTAAGGTCTTTTCCATCTTTAGGGGAAAACTACCACAGTAGCTTCTTTCATATATTGTAGAAGTTCCTCCCCTAACAACATGTCATGGAAGACCTCTCTCAAAGGACCCACTAATACCTCCTTAAATACCTTGTAAAATTCAGCTGGAAAGCCATCAGGTCCTGGAGTTTTACCACTTTTCATACTTGCTACTGCCTCTAGGATTTCTTCTTCGGTTATTTCTTAATCCATTTTGCTCATCTTTGGCAAGCCTGCTACTTCCAGATATTTTTGAATAACTTCAGAGCTTAGAGTTTCTCAGGTATAGAGATTTTTATAATAAGCAGCAAAAAATAGCACATATTTCATTCAGGTGTGTAACTAGCTTTTGCTGATTTTTCTTAATTGATGGAATAATATGTTGCTCTTTAATTTCTCTAAGCTTTCATGCCAATAGCCTATCATTTTTATTTCATTTTTCATAAAACATCTGCTTTGCATACCTCAAGGCTTTTTCAATGGGATTTGTCATCAACATATTCAACTTCCCACTAATATTAGTTAATTGTTAATATGTTTTTTTCTGAACCTGTATTTTTATGAATATCTTGTAACCTTTTTAGCTTCTGTTCTAGTTCTGTTTTTTCTTGAGCTCTTTCGTTCTTCAATTGAGAGAGACTGCTACTCAACTGACCCCTAAATACTGCTTTTACCATCTCCAGGAGTCCGTATCATTTAATTGGAAATGTTGAACAATGTCCTCTTTAATTTCTGCAATCCCATCTTTGCCCTTTTGGAAATGCAAAGCATGCAGGGGGGTGACGTGTACAGAACTAATATAGAGTCAAACTTCTGCTAAATGGAAACTTCTGCAATTTGGTCCCTCAAGCTGCATTAAGGCTGTTATTCTGTCCCCCTCCTGGTCTCCTCCAGGCCCTAATTTCTGTACTAGACAAAATCAAAACCCCAGCTCCAAATGCTTCTAAATCTTGGGAAACTTTATTTCTAAAGGCAAAACGCAAATGCTGTAGCTCATTAATAACAAAAGCACAGTCAGCTACTATCACTGATGTAAGGCATAATGCCAAATCTCCTCTCCTTTAAATCAATGGTGTATCAGTGGAGTGACTCCTGATTTTCACAGGTGTAAGAAGAGAATCAGCTCCTCAGATCATGGAGGCCATCAAAGAACGCCTCAGAGCCAGGTTCACAGAAGCCCTTAAGGTGATATTAAATATAGGCAGTGTTGCTGATGTGCTAGCACACCAGGAGCAGTTATACAACCGTACATAGTAACATAGGTGCATCTGCACAGTGAGATACATGCAGTCATATTTACCCAAATGATTTCAAGGATGTTCAGAAAAATGCATCTGCAAACATTTCAGTAAATGCATCTACACACATCCAAGGTCCTGATCCCACAATTAGTTCTTCATGAGCAGAACCCTGCACCACTGACTTCACTAGGGATTCACACAAGTGCAAAAGTCTGCCCCCACAAAGCTCACTGCAGGAACTGGGCCCAAATTTGGCCTGGAGACTCCAAAAATTATAGAATACCAGGGTTGGAAGGGACCTCAGGGGGTCATCTAGTCCAACCCCCTGCTCCAAGCAGGACCAATCCTGACAGATTTTTGCCTCCATCCCTAAATGGCCCCCTCAAAGACTGAACTCACAACCCTGGGTTTAGCAGGCCAATGCTCAATCCACTGAGCTATCCCTGCCCCTGCCCACCCTCCCCCATTAAAGATTATGTCGTATGATGAGACCTCCAGGAATACATCCAACCAAAACTGGCAACTCTAGCCCAAACATGTAAAATATACCAATACAAAACTATCGGGAACGTCACACTTTAAAATCTCAGATGCATTTGTGATATATTAATTTATCTTAAAATAGTAAAACAATTCAATGCAAAATAATACTTGAATGCAAGGCTATGGGTGAGAATTTAAATATATACAACTCAGAAGTGTCATATGGTTCCCAGGTCAGCCATAATTCAGCCTCAGTGGAAGCACATAACAACTAAGCCAGACAACATGAAATAATGCCAACTGTTCATGCCGCAAGGGACCACCACTTACTGGCTGTAAGAACCCTACCCGGGGCAGCATTCTCTCAGTTCAATCAGTGTAATGGAGTCACTCTGATTTACATGGAGCGTTATGAGATCAAAATCTAGTACCACAAACTCAGCCCTATGTAAAAAGAACAGGAGTACTTGTGGCACCTAGAGACGAACAAATTTATTTGAGCATAAATGTGTTAGTCTCTAAGGGTATGTCTACACTACAGGATTAATCCGAATTTAGATAATTCGAATTTGGGAAACAGGTTGTATAAATTCGATTGTGCGCGGCCACACTAAGCACATTAATTCGGTTTTTAACCACATTAATTCGGTGGTGTGCGGCCACACTACCCCATTACTTTAACCACAGTAATTCGGTGGTGTGCGGCCACACTAACCCTAATTCGAATTAACAAAATCGATTTAGGCACTACTCCGCTCGTCGAGGTGGAGTACAGAAATCGATTTTAAGTGCCCTTTAATTCGAATTAACTGGCTCTGTAGTGTGGACGGGTGAACGGTTAATTCGGATTAACGCAGCTAAATCCGAATTAAAGTCATAGTGTAGACCAGGCCTAAGATGCCACAAATACTCCTGTTCTTTTTGCGGATCCAGACTAACAGGGCTGCTCCTCTGAAACCAGACCTATGTGCCATTCAGCTCCTGGGGCCAAACTCTGCTCCCTCCCTTGTAGTCAGGACTGCACCGGGGTAGATCAGCACCGGATTTGGCCCTCTCTGCCCCCCCCCCCCCCCCCCTTGCTAGCAGGGGTTAGTTTGCTTCTCCCAAGGAAGCACCGTCCGGGCGCAAACAAGGCCCCCTACCCGAGCCCAGGGCACCTGGGGCCGTACCCCTCCCCGGGGCGAACTCCGCTGCCCCACGCGGGTGCACGGGGCCCGCGCCTCAGCAGCGGCCAGAGGGGCCCTAGCGAGCCCGGCCCGCCCCAGCCCGACTCCGCCACATGTGCCCTTGACGGGGTGGCCCCGGTACCTGGCAGGCGGGCCGGAGCGGCGGGCGGCGGGACTGAGCGCGGGGCGGGGAGTTTCTGTTGTTCGCAACCGACGCTCCGGACGCTGGGAATCGAAAGCGAAAGTTTGCAGGCCCCGCGCGCTATGGCCGCCCTCCCGGCCCCGCTCCTGGTGTGGGTCTCTCCCGCGCCCGGGGCCGGCGACAAGCTGCCGCTCAAGCTGGAGAGCTACTTCCAGTCCGCGAGGCGCTCCGGGGGAGGCGAGTGCGAGGTGAAGCGGGGCCCCGAGCCGGGCACCTACCTGGTGTGCTTCCGCTTGGAGAAAGGTGAGGGGTGGGGTGCCAGGCCCGGCTCGGCCCGGCCCCTGGCTGGTGCCCTCGGCGCCTCGCTGAGGGGAAGGCATGGCCCACTCCACTCTGGCTTCTCGAGAGGGGCGGGGGGCGCAGCCATATAGCTCAACAGCATGTCAGTGCATGCCAGCCCCAGAGGGGCCGTGGGGTGTGTGTGCTAGCCATGTCCTGGGGGTGGGGGAACACGGGGTGTGCCATCCGTGCCCCCAGTGATGCAGAGTGCCAGCCATGTCACTCAACAGCATGGCAGTAGCACACCAGTTGTGCCCCAGGGATACAGTGTGCCCGTTGCACAACGTGACAGCATACCAGCAGCATGTCACAGGTCAGCATGTCAACTGTGTCACTCAGCGTGGCAGCAGTGTGTGCCACTCAAAGCATTTTGCCAGCTGCTACTCAGCAGGGGCGATGGATGGTATATCAGCTGTGACGTTCAGCAGGATGGTGATGTGCCAGCAGTAGCCACCTGTGGGCATGTGGATGGGAAGGTGGTATACCTGCTATGCCCCTAGGCAGCACCCCAGCTGTGAACCTCTCTGTGTCGGGTATGCGAGCTGTGCCACATGCCGGCTGTGATACTCTGTGTAGAGCAAACTTTGGGTGATCCTATGTCACCCACATCTTGGTCCTTAGTGTAGGGGCACGGTCAGGGAAAAGGGAACATGGATGGGAACCTTGGTGGCCACTGACAGCCAGAATAGATCTCTTTGAGATGCACAGATGAAAAGTGCTATATAACAGTTAGGTGGTGAGCCCTAATTTGTGCTGTGGACTGGGCCAGCACCTAATGGCCCCAGCACTGGGACTGCACAAAAGAGGCTTGAACACATCTCATTTCAAACCTTAAAATTCACAATATATATGTTGTGTGAATTCCTTGGGGGTTGTTTTTCCTCTTCCTTCCCCCTTGTGTAATCATTCATAGGTGTGCAAAGTGGGTGTAAAACCATACCAGATCAGAATGTTAGCCTTTTACACTCATTTTGCACATGTGAAAATGACTACACAAGGGGCAAAGCAATGGAGAATCTGACTGTTTAGTGTTCATTGATACACCAGAATAAGCAGAAGTTCCCCCCTCTCCCCCAATTTATTCCCACCTCACTATAGATAAGAACCGCGTGAAATCACGTGAAGACCATGCCCTAGAAATTGATGGCAAAAGTGTGAAGATATTTATCCAGGCAGATTCAGAAGTAGAGGATCCTGGAGAAAGCCAGCCTACAACACAATCCTCGGGCCGATCTAGCACTTCAGGCTTTTCACAACTTCAGAAGAAATCTGATAAGAAACACCTTGGTGAAAAACATGATGCCAGTTCATCTTCTAGAGCATTTACTGAAAAGGTATGTTTAATATAAAGTAGAAAAAATAATTCACCAGGCTCTCAAGGTCTCATGACTTACACCTGTACACCTCTGCTTCCATACATCAGTTGGAGAGAAAGAGCTCATTTCACCTTCTAGCCAGAATAGAAGAGTTGGAAATTGTTAGTATGCATTAGATTTATAAACTTCCCGGTCAGCAAGCACTGAGACATGTCCATACCCCTAATTAACATATAGACACAGAGTATGGCATGGTGACTTGTAATGCAGTGGTAGGGATTTGCAGTCATAATTATGTTTGTGGCATGTGCGTGTCCTCTGAAATCCGGGGATATTTATATTTTTCAGAACCAATTTGTATGCCTGGGTTGCTACTGAGGCACATATAGGAATCCTTTCAAAGGAACTAATAAGTACAATCAGATATTCTATTCCATATAGGTTCTTATACTGCTCTTGTCATCATAGAATCTGAGCATGTTCCAGTACTACAATAAGTGTCAGGCACATCTATGACAAGTGGTTCATTCTCTCATCCTCTCCAGAGGATAATTGTACATCTAATGTAGTGCTTTGTTTTGGTGGGGTTTTGGTTTTGGGTTGTTTGTTTGCTTGTTTGTTTGTTTTTTAATGTATGTACTGCTCTGTGCTTTTGATAGGGAAGGCAGGTCAAAGAAGTGTGCCTTGCACTTGGAGTCATGAGGTTTGTGATGGTCCTTAGTTCCTGTGGCATAATGAATAATACTAGCAAAGTAGATCATGAGTTGCTTTTTATGTTGTGCTAATGTGCACTGGGTCTCAATTTAAGAGAGAACTGTGGATGGCCTCTACATTGCCCCACTGAAGCTCACATTAGAAGATGGGAGTTTTTTCACAGATTTCATTGGGAGCAGGATTGGTTCTCATGCATGTGTACATAGGGATACTAATGGCAGTATATCAGTATACATGAGTTCAAAGAAGACTATATGCAAGAGTGTTTATATACAGTAAAAACAAAATAATCTTGGCAAGCTGAGAACTAGAGTAGAAAGATTTTTTAATTAAATATTTGAAAGAACAAGCTGAGAATTTTAGGAAAGCTGATAATGATCTCTGCTTGTTCTTTCATTTTCAGATTTTTCTCCATGTGTCTGCAACCTTGAATACCGACCTGTTCACTAAACAGGAAAGACAACAAGTGACCACTCTGTGCCCAAACTTAAAAATAGAAAAAAATTCTAGTAACGACGGCATCGAGAAAGTGACAGGAGACTATGCAGATATTGAAAAAGTGTATCACTATTTTGATGAACTCCGTATAAAAAATGACCAACACACTGATTTTTCACACTCTGAAAGAAATGATTTGGAAGATGTGAATGAGAATGGTTTGGATGAAGTGAACAATATTGAAGTTCCATCAGCTCTCTATGAATACTTTAACCATGTCTATGAAGAACAAATTAAAGAATTACAGCAACGTTTCAACGTAAAGATAAAAAGCAAAGAGGATGACAAGGGACTCACTTCAGTAAGCTTCATATCTGTTGGGAGTTCTGGATCAGTAGAGAGAGCTCAGCAGTCTTTTATCACTGATTTTCAGAAAGGAATAGCAGATTTAAAACAAGAAAAAGTTTCTTTGACAAACAGTTCCCAGTTAAATGAAACACTACTGAAATTAAATACCAGGTTTAGGAGTCTTCTTGCCAAAATTGAAGGAAATACAGTAATACTGCGTGGTCCAGCAAATGAGATTTTGGCTGCAAAAAAATTTCTTGAAGAAAAAAACGTGAACAGCCCGCTTGAAAAACCTATGAAAATAACATCTGAAGCTTACACATATAGGAATGGAATTGAAGTTGATTCTGTTGGGCTTAAACTCTTGGAAACAATATTAAGTAAAGAAATTGAAGTGATAAATCAAACATTTGATACCATAATGGAAAACAAGGGCTCTCCACAGAGCCAGAAAGCATGCATCATATTTAAACCTAAGAACAAAGATTCAGATATGTCTGTACATGCTTACGAAAGCTTCATTAATGCATTTCAGAAGGCCTCAGCAATGATAACTGAAAAAGACCTTTGCTTGAAACTTTCAAGTGATCAGAAAAAACAACTGAATAAATACTTTAATAAACTACAACTGGAAAACCCAGGTATAATACTTAATAAAAAGGAGGAGAAACTCAGTTTAAAAGGATTACCAGATCTTCTGCATGCTGCTGAAAAGCACATCAGGAGCTTTCTTTACATTGAAGGCCCTGTAAAGATTAAAGAAGGGACCCCTCTCATTTATGGTACCAGCAGTAAAGGTGCTACAGGAACTTCCCTGGATGCAGATGGTGACGGGAAAATGAATAGGGTTCTTCCCAAAGAACAACCTAGACCAAAGTTAGCAGGAGGAGAGGAAGCCAAAGATGTGTGTGCCATTTGCATGGATAAAATCCATCAAAAAGAAGTACTGCAAAAGTGCAAACATGAATTTTGCAAAGCATGCATCCAAGTGGCAATGAAGTATAAGCCTGCCTGTCCTGTCTGTAATACATTCTATGGACTCATACAAGGAAATCAACCAGAGGGAACAATGTCTGTCTCAAAGTTTCCTTATTCAATCCCTGGCTATCCTCAATGTGGGACTATTACGATTGAATATCATATGCGAGGTGGGGTTCAAACTGTAAGTATATTTGAAAATGTGTAGAAGCTGTTAGTTAACAAAACCGAACTCGAATATAGAATCTAATATTTTTCCATTTTTATATCCTAAAGAGAGGTTTTTTTTAATCCATCAGATATTTATTCCAATATTTTTGTTAGGCTCTGGTACTCTGAATATACATTACAAATCTCAGTTTTCCAAATAGGATCTCATGTCACATCACATTGTATTATATTTCTTTATGGAGTGCCATTAGTATGCAGTACTAACACCCAATGCTGGGTCAGAGCTACAAGGGAAACACAAAAATATCAAATATTAATCAATACAAATGAAAGATAAAACCAAAATGGTAGCCCTCACTGTTATACGCAAAGGGCCTGTTTCTCCTTTCATGTAGGTGTAAATCTGGAGTAACTCCATTGAAATCAGTGAAGTGATGCTGGTGTAAAACTGCTGTGAGAGGAGAATCAGGCCCAGCGCTTGGCTAAAGAAGTGTGTAGTGCATTGGAGGGAGGAAATGATTGTAAGGGCTTTGGATTATGTTATGTGTTTGTACAGCACCTAGCACAATAGGGCCCTGATCAAGACCCTTAGGTACTACTGCAGACCAAATAACACTTGCAATGACATCAGTGGGAAAAGCAAAGGGAGAGGAGACAAGACAAGAAAATGTGAGAAATTGAATGAAGGGGATGGGCAGGGAGGAAAGGAGAAATGAGATATCCTAACAAGGAACAGTTCTGGTGAGGCTACTGAAAGTGAGGGTGAATTTCAGTGACACCTCAGATACACAGGAAACCAATGAAGAGGTGAA